TATTTATTTATTTATTTATTTTTGACACAAGGTCTTGCTGTCTCAAGACTGGGCTTAGCCTGAACTTGTGATCTGCAAGCCTCATCCTCCTGGAGTGCTGGAATCACAGGTGTGCGCCACACACCTAGCTATGAACCCACTCTTGCATGCTAACATGACACCTGGGAAGTTAATTAACCTTCAGAACACAAACACTGAGTAGCAAGTGGGCACAGAAGTGGGTGAATGTGCTTGGGCTCCAGCAAGGACAGGCAGGGACCTGGCAGGTGCCTAGAGTGTGTGCCCAGCCTGGGCAGCTTCTGCTTTTCCCAGGATGTAGGAGGGTGAGGCTCAGTGGTCACCGCCTGCAGGCCCCACAGTCCCCCTCAGGGCAGAGGTGGTGAGCTGTAGCCAGGCCAGAGCCCCAGCCCCAGCAGCCCCCACCCCGGGGCTGTGCACCCCAACAGGTGTCTGCCAGATGTGCAGAGGAGTTGATGGGAATTGGGCAGGTGCCCTCCATACCCTCCAGGAGCCGCTTCTCCCAGAAGAGGTGCTGGGGCCTCAGTCCTTTGTTTTCACAGAGCTAAGGCCTCTGGATCCTCACAACCCTGTGCCACTGCAGGTCACACCTCCCTGGCCTGCCTCTGCTTTCTGGTGTGTAAGGGTGAGCCAGGATCCCCCCCGCCCCATGTCCCCTCTCTGGGGCTGAGGTTCTCTGCCTGGGGGACCCGCCCTTAGGAGCTTTCCCTGCCGGTTCCAGGGAAGCTGTGGCTCTTGTTCAGAGGCCTGAGTTCCCTGTAGGGTGCTGCTCCAGGCTCTGCATTACCACGGGCCTGGTCCTCAGTTCTTTCATTCCTATGGTGAGCAAAATGGACAAAGTCATCTCCAGCTCTGTCCCAACTCCAAAGAATATAGGCGTTACAGGCAAAACCCAACGAAGATCAAGTAGTGTGCCCCCAGCCCCTGCTCCCCACTAGCAACACCCAGATGACACCCCAAAGAGTGTGGAGTTAACTAAGAGTTTAGGTACTGGGGGGAGGGAGAAAGAAGAACAAAATTTCTTGTAACAGAGTGTAAATGGCAGGCAATTCCAGGAGGGAAGGGGGTGAGGGGAGGAAGCAGAATTCACCGCCCCGTTCCTTCCTTTCAGCCTGGGGGAAGGGAAGAAAATGCTGCTGGCCCAGCATCTGCCCTGTAATCAGCACCGTGGGGGAGGCCTTGGGTCAGCCAACTCCTGGGGTTCAAGAGAAGGTCCAGGATCAAGGGTACTGCTCTCATGCTAAACAAAGGGCACAAAGACACTGCCCAGCTGAAAGCCATCCAAATGCAACAATGTTCAAACTGCCACTGCCCGGCCACTCACTCTGGGCAAACTGGTGGCACTTGGAGCCTCAGTTTCTCCGTCCACAAGAGGGGCAGTATCCTCAGCGTCCCTTCCCTGAAGAGTGAGCTGAAGTGGGGACTGAGATGAGGATTCTTGCAGTGCCCAGTGGAGAAGATTGGCTGACGTGGGGCTGCTTGCCGGTGTAGTCCCAGTTACTGTGACTCAGCTGGCTTGTCACCTGTCTCAGGCCTGCTCTGATCCCTCATGGCCTTAAACGCCTTCTTCCCATGCCTCGTGTTGCTTTCTCTTCACCGGGACGAGGAGCAGTTTGGGCGGGCTTGTGGGCAAAGCTGACACTCACTGACCATTGTTCTCCCAGCCTAGAGATTCTCCTGTGGTTCTAGTGAGGGGCTTGAGGGCCTGGGTCTCTAACAAACTTCCGGGTGATGTTGAGGATATGATATGCTCTAGGCTCCCTGAACTGCACTGCACACATCTGAATGGTTTTAGAGTTCTCCAGATGGTTCTAATGTGAAGGCAATGTTGTGAAAAACTGGCTTATATCTACCAGGATTTATCAATGGAACTAGGGATAAAGCCACCTTCCCCGAGTCTAGTTGGGGAGTAATGGTTTTCCAAGCAAAATATAGGACAGAAAGGGTAAAATGGGGCCAGGTGGGCTTTGGGGGAGTCTGAAGGTCACTCATTGCTGGGGTTTTTTTGGTACCAGGGATCGAACTTGGGTCCTTCCACTTGCAAGGCAGGAGGTGGAACCACTGAGCTAAATCCCCCGCCCAAGGTCCCTCATTGTTTTTGTTCCCTGCCAGCCTCTACAGGCTCCACCTCCTCAGACAAGGCTGTGCTGGGCAAGATGTCAAGACCATGGGTTCGTGCCAGCCTCCCTGCCCCTCAGCTCTCTCCCCCGTGAGCTGGTACTCATTGGGATGCTGCAGTAGCCTGCCCTTGAGTGCTCTCCTACCCACTGTCAGGGCCAGGGATGGACGTCCAGTCCGGCACAGGGCCAACAGATCCTCAGAAATGACCTTGCCGTCTCAGGGTTCCAACTACAGAGTCTGGGCCAAGCTTCATTGCTAGGCTTTGAATAATTCATTCTGCGTTAAGCAATCATAAAAAGAACAGGACTTGAGGGCTTTGGAGGTTTCTCGTCAAGCAAAAAGGAACCATGTAGCACCATGTTCACTGCAGACTGAACTTGGGTCAATTTTTATTTGAAATCCACAAACACCCATAACACCTCCCACCCCATTTCAGACACTATACGATCTGTGTGAGAACACTATAAAGATTATTTTTTAAAAAACCAAACATTCTGTAAAGTCTCTTCAAAATAAGTTATTTTTATTAATAAAAGACTAAATTAAATAAGCCCCACAAGAGGCTCCATGCAAGTACCACATATGAACCAGAATTTTCAGTGCCTGAACTGTGTCCTACAAGGTCACTCATAGGCTTGGTGTTCACCCAGGAATGAGTTCGCCATCTTGAATCCAGACAGTTTCTTGTGAGTGTCAGTTTAGACCTTAGGAATTCAACTCCCTCACAGGGTGTCACCACCCATAATTATCAAAACCTTCGTGGGAGTTCTTGGTGCAGAGTAGGGGTTTTGTAAGCATTGTCTCATTTAACCCTCTCAATGCTGTGCCTAGAAAAATTCTGAGACCTGAAGAGGATTAGGGACTTGCTCACAATCACCAAGCTTGTAATATTTGCAGTGCTCTGCAAATTCAAGTGCACCTCCAGGAGCTTGGCAGCTACACCTCTAAACACCCACCTTGACAAATGCACTCGTTCCATAATCAGAGAAATAGCCTGGGTTCCATCCAAAGATAGAATGCGGAAGCAAAGGTCTGATAAATCAAAAAGAGCAGTGACACATAGTCCCCTCCACATGCTTATCTTAACTCCTCACCTCTCTCATGAGTAGACTCATGATACCAACTGTGTTGGATGGAACAGGCTATATAACAATCCAACTGATGTCACTCAGTGGTGGAACCTCACCATGCCTTGCCCTCTGGCACTTGGAGGAGGACTCACAGGTGGACCATGGGGCATCTGGGCATCCCAAAAACATGACTTCATGCAGAGGGCTGGAGGGTCAGCCTCAGATTCTAGAGATGAGCTCGTGTCAGACTCTGGCTTCCACATCCCATTTCCCTGGCTGAATCCCAGGGCACCATGAAGCAGATGGCCAGTGGAACCACTGTGGGAGTTGAGACTCTGACTGCCTGCAGCCCCAGGGCTGGAGGGGAGGAAGGACTGTTTCCATTTGTTCACCAAAATGTTTCCTGAAGCTCCACATGTGTGATCTGCTGTGCTGGTGGCTATGCAGGGTGCAAAGAAAAACAAGTGGAGTGAAAATGAACTCTTCTCCACCTCACTGGCACATGAG